CCTGTACGTACCAGTATTTTGACCCTAGCGGTATTACAAAGTTAGTCTTAACGTAAATTTATTGGTATTAGGATGGTACTAGATGTATCATGATACCGGTGATTGTGATGCCTGCGGTATAGAGATACTGAATATACTGCGATTTGAATGACAGTATACGGTGTTATGAGAAGTATCATGATACCATCTTTTGACAGCAGCAATACTGTGACATTAGCTGCATCCTTATACTAATTGTATCATGATACTAGCACTTGTGATATTAGCAGTAGAGAGCTACGAATTAAAAAATGCTGTATCATATTTTTTCTCCTATCGTCATCATGAATTGCTCCCAAACCAACACACCTTACTCCAGAATGCCTGCCCGTTTGGCTTGTAAGTAGGCATATTTTGTGTGTGTGTGTGTGTGTGTGTGTGTGTGTGTGTGTGTGTGTGTGTGTGTGTGTTAGAGCAGATGATTTTCTCCTTAAAGAAAATTCAAACAAGGTTTCTGGGTTGGTTGTTGCTGCTTGTTTTTTTAAATCCTCCCAACTGGACTCCCATTTTTTCTTCATCATTATCATCATCAGCCTCCTCTTCCTCTCCTGCTGTCTCTGTTGACTTTCTCGGTGTGTGCTCTGACATTTGGCCTATGTCACAATTTAGCCACAATTAGCGGAAAATCACGGCCCTCCACTGCAGGGGTAGAAACACAGGAAACAATGCAAAAAAAAAAAAAAATACTGTAGATAACTCCTGATGTCTCTATGCATCTACTCATGACAGACATACCACCAACATTTCATTTGAAGAAAAAAAATAATCTACAGGATGCGACCAAGTCAAACGGGTTGCCTGGGCTCCTAGTGCTGGCAACCCACGCATTGCTGGCTTGTTGTGCCACTTCCTGTTTATAATGTGAGTGACAGTTCATCAAGTCCGTCTGACAGCTCGTTAGCGAGGCGGGGGCCGTCAGTCATCAGGAGAAAAAGAAAAGGCAGAATGAGAGGCGATGATGAGACGAGAACCGTTCTGAGTGCTCACTTAATTAGCCTGCGCATGCTAAAGAGATTTAAGCCAAGCTACCTATTCTTACCTTTGATTGACACTGTCAGAAAATGCTAAACTTAACATAATTATGATATTGTAAAGTACTGCATTGTCGATGACCTTATCAATACAACAGTAATAACAAAATATTGCTGTACTGTTATAGTAGCGGTATGATACAAGCTCTAATGTGATACGGTACTTGTTTTGTGATATGAACAGTATTGCGATACGAGTGATATCGCGATACAAGCTTTATTTTGATATTTGTACAACTGAGATACAAACTTGATCTATTCTTAACGCTAACATCGTGGTATGAACAGAATCATTACATTAGCAGCATTGGGACACAAACGGAATCTTGCTACTAGATGTAAAGTGATGCTTTAGTTATTATTGTGTTACTTTTTGTATCATGATACTGGCAGTAATGTGGCACAAGCGGAATCATGATACGGCATAGGGTAACCGTCGTGCTTCTGGTATATGGATGTTGCATTCTTTTTGTCCAATGAGATTTCCTCTCTGTGTGTTGCCATGTCTTCCCACTGCCTTCAGAACCACATGTGGTGGCCCACGATGACATCTGCATTTTTCAGTACTCTGATTGGTTTGTCCAAGCAAAATGTGTTCCAGCCAGCCCCAACCAAAAATCTGTGTACCTTATTACATTCAACAATCGGCATCTTTCAGTTGCATTTTTGTATATTTTGTGAAGTTGTGAGACAAATATTGATTCTGAACTGCATCAGATGGTGTATGTGAAACGTCACAGTGCAGCGGTCACATTTTCTTTAGCATTGGTGTTTTTTACTACCTTCGACGTGATGGAGGTATTAGCGGGTGGATTAGCTTGGCTAAGTCCCCAGTGAAGACTTGCCTCAAGAAGTCATGCATGTGCATAATGGGGAAAAATCCCGCTGTGAAAACAGGTTCCAAATAACAAGGATGTCTTTCCACTTTCCCTAAATTGCGCCGAAGTAACCACACTGATTGTTGTTAGTAACTAAACAAACTTTTCTCAACAAACAGAAAGCATTGAGAAAGCAGTCAGAAGTTGCTATTCCACTATTCACCCGTGATTGATTTTATTAGTCGTTAAAGTGATAGAAATTCCAAAATAGCGCATAACAAATTAACATCAATTACCCCATTCAGTGCCGTGCACATTTATATTTCTCAAATGGAATCCGAGCGTGGTCCCACCCAGCTTGTCTGTGAATCTGCTGTAAATCGCTTTGGATTTCCGATCAGCACAGCTTTTGGGTGGAAGTTAAAGATGAGGCGGTGAATCTTGTCTTGTCATTTCGGTTATAAAGGAGAGCAATGCCAACCCATTGGAGGTTGGACCACTTTAGGCACCTGACACTCAAACATGTACATGTTACGTACTCTTATCTAAAACCACTCATAAATTAAATCATCTTTAACCATTGAAATGCATAGAAATGCAATTAAAATTATTTTTGACAAATCAGATGGCATATTCTTTTGGTGAGTTTGGTGCTTCACAATATTGATCTTAAGAGATCAGTCAAAACGCTGTAAAACAGCTGGTAGCGACTAAGCGAAATGTAAACTTTAGTGCGTTCCGATTAACGAGCCAGTTAAGAGTCAATCCCTTAATTTTTGTTTTGTGGAATGCTCGCCTTTTGCTTGCCAGGGACAGGGGAGGTGTGCTTAATGAATTGTCTCTTGCGTGCAATGAAGTGGCAATGGCAGCGCGCCCAACGCATGCATGCGAGAATGGTGGCGGTGGGCCGTCTTGAGGGGCAAACGCGCCACTTCTCTACCGCTTACATAACCACACAGCAGGCTGGCGTCGGGCCCGAACCCGAGGCTGAGGGCCCCCCTTCGCACACGCTCTCTGCAGGGACGCCCACCAACACCCCTCCACCCCCACCCCACACCCCCCTAACCATCTAATCACTTTGTCTGATAACTCTGATGAGATTTCTCCTGATGGATGCCGTATGTTACGGAGACGGACATCTCGCTGACATTCCAATTACATTTTCCTCACCGCTTGATCAACAAATCAAATCAGATTCTCTCCAGGAAAGGAGACGCAACGGCGCCTTGCAAGGGCAACGCCGTTTTGGGAAACAAACCGTCTCTTGTTAGCCTTGGTGAGATATTAACGGCTTACGGACTAAATGGAATCATCGACGACGACCGTTTTAGCTTCTGCACTCACTCGCTCATGGTTGTGATCGACATGCGTGCCGGATTTGGAAACATTTGATGAGGTTTACAGTCACAGTGATCTGGTGGTACCAGTTGTATAATGGCACTACCGCAGTCTAAAGACACGGGTCACAAATAACTCAGTTTCGGTTTAAAAAGGGACCAACCTGCTAATTGGGACACTTTGACCTCACATTCTGGATTGTTTTGTCCAAAACAATTCAATTCTGGGGGTGAAATTGACCCAAATCGCGGGTTGGTCCCTTTTGACCCAACTGTTTTTAGAGTCTCAGTGTATATTGGTTCTAGCTGTATTGAGCTACTGGTTATATCATGCGAGCAGTATCGTAATAGTAGACATAGTGTGGTACTAGCTGTATAGTGACACTGGCAGGATCATAGTACTGTACTAGGTGTATCATGTTACTAAATGTATCACAGTACAACTTGGGTCATGATCCCACTTGTATTGTGATATTACTTGTATTATTATCATATTCTGCCATTTCACAATACAGGCTGTATCATGGGACTATTTGTACTGTATCATGATAGTAGTGGTATTATTTCACTCCTTGTATCGCAATAGTCATTATTTTCTGTCACTAAGCATTGTATTATGAGGTCTATCTTGATACTGGCTGTGAAGTGTCATCATGCCAGGTGTATCATGCTACTAGGCATATTGTGCATATAACTTGTATCATGATTGTATTGTGATCCTAGCAATACAATCATACTTGGAGAATCTTGGTACTAGCCGTATCATGATACCGGCTTTATAAAGACTGAATTGTATTTTGATACTGATTTTCTAATGAGACTATAAGTACCATGATACCATCTGTATCAAGGTGTCTTGTTCGTCATGCTGCTAGCTCTATCATATATTCTTGGTATCATGGTGATACTGGTGCATGTGATACTACCCGTATCATGATACTAGCAATACCGTCCTCGAAACTTTATCGTGGTCCGAACTGTATTATGATATTGGCTGCATCATGACGCAAGCATTTTAGCAACACTGGCAGTATCATGATGATACAGCTGTATCATCCGAACAGTGTCGTGACACCAGCTGTGTCGTGGTACTCGTAAGTCCAGTAACTCTACTGGAACCACACTTACACACAGAGCCTTCACACCATCACCACAACCATCGAAACACCTCCAGGGACCTATCCAGCAGCAATGGCAGCGCTATTGTTACTATAATTATGACCTGATCACAGCTGTAACAGCACAGATGTCATGCTATATGTAGGTAGTGCGGGCGCACACACACACACACACACACACACACACACACTCACACACACACACACACACACACACACACAACACTTCACACACACATCAGTGTGTCTTTAGTAGAGGAGAGAGAGAGAGAGCGAGACAGGGAGAGAGCGAGGCAGAGAATTAGTATTCCGAGCACAGGGCGGGAAGCTGAGAGCGAGCATCCAGCAAGGAAGGAGGAGGAGGAGGAGGAGAAGGAGGTGGTGGGTTCGGAATATTAGAGCGAACAGGAGGGCTGCCATCATTTGCTCCATTTCTCTCCGGCCTCGTCAGCTCATCCTGGCGCGTGCGCGCGTGCGTGCGTGGAAGAGAAAGAAAGAAAGAGGTGGGAGAAAAACAAACGCTGGGACCGCTTGCTTTTTTCCGCTGTCCCCCCACACACACTCACACACACACACACACACACACACACACAACACTTCACACACACATCAGTGTGTCTTTAGTAGAGGAGAGAGAGAGAGAGCGAGACAGGGAGAGAGCGAGGCAGAGAATTAGTATTCCGAGCACAGGGCGGGAAGCTGAGAGCGAGCATCCAGCAAGGAAGGAGGAGGAGGAGGAGGAGAAGGAGGTGGTGGGTTCGGAATATTAGAGCGAACAGGAGGGCTGCCATCATTTGCTCCATTTCTCTCCGGCCTCGTCAGCTCATCCTGGCGCGTGCGCGCGTGCGTGCGTGGAAGAGAAAGAAAGAAAGAGGTGGGAGAAAAACAAACGCTGGGACCGCTTGCTTTTTTCCGCTGTCCCCCCACCCCCCATCCCCTCCAATTGTGTTTTTACCTGACGTGACGGCAGCAAGCGACGAGATTCGTGCACGTTCCACGGTAGGAACGCGCGCACTCTCACACGCAAACATCCTGTGACGCGCACATCAATGTTTCATTTGTAGCCCGCACGGCGTCCTTGTTGCTTTTCTTTAATTTTTTTTTTTGTGCACGTACTGTAGACGCTCCAATTTAGTATTATTTTTCTGGGCCATCAGCAGACGTTCTTGGATGACGCGCGCACACGCCAGGTTTACGTGCGCGGCCGACGACAGTCTCCGCTCCCCCGCTAGCAGATCCCGCGGGGCCACGCCCCTTTACCTTGACCACCGAATGTGATTCATGCTAATAGGCGCGTGTTTGTGCTGCAAAAAAAAAAAAAAAAAACGGTCCCAGTTGGAGCAAAACATGGCAGCCGGTGTGTATAGTGTAGAACCTCAGCAGCGTATTTAAATAGAAATACATGACCGATAGCAGTCAGTTAGGGTGGAGCTATCATTACCTACATGTCGTCAATATCCAGCCTGTCATGGCACAAAGACGGTGTCCGGGCCTTTAGACGAGAGGTGACGTGAAAGTCGTGACCTCTACCTTCCAAGTGAGAAATCGGCCCGTTTGTGAACCACAAAATGCCAGAAGGAAAGCGGCCCAGACAGAAGCAATCGAAAGCAGAAACATCCCATTAGGCAGAACCGATGGATTAGCCTGCCGCGTCAGAGATAAATGAGCCAACTAGTGCTCGTTAAACTGCCCGAGTCCTAAAAATAAAAAACAATTGAACTGTATCTTTGTACACAAAGAGGCCGTGAAGATGGTTGAAGGCGGGTTGTATTGATCCATATCATTCCTCGCCGAAGCAACAACATGTTTTATTCAGTGTGCACGCCACTGTTGCTTTGTTTGGCTCTAATGATGGCACTTTGCTGTCCGAACGTTGGCATTCCTATAGCAAACACACACCGGATGAAACGAAACCTTGCACTCTGTTGAAAACATCTTGCTGGGGGTGGGATTTTTGGTTAGCCCACGTGGAAACATCCTCATCCAACCTTTCGCCGCCATTCTCAAATGTAGTCGAGGTGTAGGAAGAAATTCCTTAACCCTGTCACTTGGGAAATAATCCCCCATAAATCTTCTGCTTGGGTTTGGATTTGTTAGTTGCGAGTCATGTCTATGCTTTTGTTTCCAGTAGACTTGAACGGTCTTCTGCCTGGATTCCATTTAAAAGGCTGCAGCTCAGGTTCTGCCCACAAAAAAAAAGATGAGAACATATTACTCCCGTCCTAAAGGATTTACACTGGGTCCCACTCAGCTGTAGAATAGTTTTAAAAATTCTGCTACGGGTTTACAAAACACTGAATGTCTTTGGTCCTTGAATACATTAAAGAAATGCAAATTGAATATCAGAGGCCAGCAGACTCTCGGGTCAATTAGAGAACCTCAGAGTCCAAAGCAAACACGGTGAAGCGGCATTTAGCTGTTATGCTGCACACAAATGGAATAAGCTAGCAAGAGAACTACAATTAGCCCCAAGTGTAAATGGTCTTAAAACCAGTTGAAAAAAAAAAAACTTTCCCCCTGTACCTACGATTAAAGTCTTTTAGAGCATTTCGAGAATCATTTTTTTCCAGAATCATGTTCTTGTGCTGGGTGTTCCTTTAATAATTTTAGTAAAATTTGAGTTTCTCTACTATGCTTTTTTTAAATGTCTAATATTATTTTTTAAAATGCGAATGTCTTAAATTTGTTTGCCTTTTAATGTTGCTTTGTCACTATGTGAAGGTTACCTTGAGTATGAAATGCATGATAACACATCAAGATACTTTGCCTTGCCTTCACTCGGAAAATAATTCCTCGTTAATGTTTTGCTTGGCCCGTTGAGTGGTCGTGGGTTCGATCCCGGCTCCGGCCTTCCTGTGTGGAGTTTGCATGTTCTCCCCGGGCACTCGTGGGTTTTCTCCGGGTACTCCAGGTTGCATGTACACTCAAAATTGTCCCTTGGTGTGAGTGTGAGCGCGGATGGTTGTTCGTCTCTGTGTGCCCTGAGATTGGCTGGCAACCGGTTCAGGCTTTCCCCCGCCTACTGCCCGAAGACAGCTGGGATAGACTCCAGCACACCCCCATACCCCCCACCCCTGCGACCCTTGTGTGGAAAATGGACGGATGGATGTTTTGCTTGGGTTAAAGCTTTTTTTTTTTTTTTGTTTGTCTTTTCTCAGAATCTGTCAGTGAGGGAATTCCGTTGTCCTTGTCTTCCCTCTTGTCACACGTGCTCTGAAATTTTCTACTCTGCACTATATCTGAAAGTGGGATTGCACAATCCCATCACTGTGGAAAAATCCCTTATAAACCTTTTGCTTAGGTTAGTAAATCTCAATCTGAGTGTCCGAGCAAATCATCCTTATCTTTCCTCTGGGCCTTTCCCAATCATTCCCAAATTCAGCCAAGGGGTATCAAGAGATTCCATGACTTTGTCACTCGGGAAATAATCATTTACAAATCTTCTGGTAGGGTTGGGATTGTCTTCACTCTGAAAAAAAAATGTCTGAGTCAGGGAATTCCAAGGTTCGTGTCTTCTCTCCTGTCAACCGTACTCATAATCTGCTCATTTCTAAATCCAGTCAAACTGTAAAGAGAGATTCCACAATCCCGGCACTCTGGAAATAATCCCGGTTAAATGTTCTGATTCAACTAGAATTTGATGATTGCATTAATTGGAAATCTCAAAGCAAGGGAATTCCATCATTCTTGTCTTCCCTCTCCTCTGCAATTTTCAAAAATAGCCAAGGTGTGTTATTCACACCGGATTAAAATATTTGACATGCCCGCCGCTTTAGAAATAATCCTTCATAAACCTTCTGCGTGGGTTGGGATTTGTTGTTAGTCTTTCCCGGAATCTCTGAGCAAGGGGGAACCCATCATGCTCGTCTTCCTTCTCAACCTTTCCCAGCCATTTCTAAATCCACAAAAGGTGTTGATAGCGATTCCATAATCCCGCCACATTGATAATAATCCCTCCTAAACCTTTTGTTGTTTCTCTTTATCACAATCTCGGAGCAAGGGAATCGTATCTTTAATCCAGTCATTCCCAAATCCAGTCTGGGGATGAAGAGAAAGTCCATATTCCATCTGTTGTGGAAATAATCTTCTGATAGCATTGGGATTTTTTTGTTGTCGTTTCTATTGATCAATTCCAAGATGGTAAAGAGCCATTTACAGGTCAAATAATTTTTTGGGGGAAAAAAAAAAACGTAATCTGGAATTAGGATGGATCTCTATTGTTTCATGGAGTTCTCCGCCCACCCGTGTTGTGGGAACTCCAGTCCACTGCTGGGAATGATGCAACATAACCAGCTCATCGATTTGATGGCCTCCTGAATTGAAATAGTAATGGAAAGATGGAGTCATTAAAAAAAAAAATGGAGGCTAGAGCTTGTTAATGGTTAATTGGAGGTTGTCAGTTGAAGTTTTATCTTGGCCGCCCTCCTTTCCACCTGTTCCCTTCTCATCTAACCAGCCTATTGTCTCCTGTGATTTTCCTTTCGTGTGCCATAATGAGAAGCCAACCTTGTCCGATGGCACGGTTGCAACTGGGCGGCCCTGCTGAGAGTATCGATCCCAAGCGGCGCGTGAGACTGTGGAGCGTCTGCGGGAGGTTTTGTGTTGCCGCGCGTACACAAAAGGCTCCTTTATCCTGTAGTCATGGAAATGTTCCGCTTCCGCGACCCGCGCATACTGTGGCCGAGTTGGTTAGCCATTTTACCGGTAACTGGACCCTTAGAAACCTTAAAAAAAACATTTGACATCTTACAGCCAATCAGCAAACAAAATACCGTATTGGCCCAAATATAAGACGGTGTTTTTTGCATTGAAATAAGACTGAAAAAGTGGGGGTCGTCTTATATTCGGGGTCAAGACCTTATACCCATTCATGACGCTAGATGGCGCCAGATATCATTGAAGCGAATGCTGAGCTTGACTCCCCAGGCCAAAGTGAACCCCTGCCACGAAGAATAAAAACAAAAATAGGGGTAGCACGGAGAAGAAAAATAAAAAATAGCGGTAAGAAGGAAAAGAGAAGAAAATAACAGAAGCGATAACAGAAAATGGAGAAACGTCGTGACGATTTGGAGAAAAGTGGGTCGAAGATCGGCCAGGTGAACCGGCAGCTGAGGAGAAGTTATGGTGTAATTTCAAAAACCAAAAGCCATTCATTTACGAATGTGATTGCACTTTAGATTTGAATGAGGCAAAATAACATGCTTTTTCTCTCAAATATATTGTTATAATCATTTGTTTCAGATGTACTGTAATTATGAAAAAGTGGGGGTCGTCTTATAATCAGGGCCGTCTAATATTCAGGCCAGCACGGTAAGAATTCGAGAAAATCATACCGTACCAAACTAAGCTAAGTAACGCCCTGACTATTCTGTATTTATTTAATTTTTTCTCGGCAGATGCTGATTCCAATACAGTATTTGGCAGAATAAAATTCCGATAACATAAAATAATTTTTCACGTCATTTTAGGATTGATTGGAGTGAGAAAATGCAAATCGTAGTGCCCCGAAATCAACGGGGGCTGCACTGCTCAGTGGTAACAGGATATCAGTGGATGTAAACAATGTCTTTGACTGCCGGCCCAGCCCGCAACCCCCACCCCAGGCTCGCGGTCTCTTCGCTACCAGACGGCCATTGCTCATCGTGAGACATGCTCGTTTAAAAGCCACTCAGACAGATTTACTGGAGCGCGGACCCATGTTAGCAATATTGGATCTTTTTGTTGTGCCCCCCCCTCCCCCCAATTTTGAATTCCACAGCACGCTGTCACGGCCAGATGAATAGACTAAAGTGCTTCTTCCTTAAATGGACAGACGTGACAGTCTGCGACCATTCAAAGCCGGCGGGACTCGGCCTCATTCTTGCCCGATGCGGACGACCGGCGGATTGACCGATTGATTGATTCACGCATTGACGAGCACTCAGGCCGCCAGCTGCCACTCAAAAGACAAACGTCTCCCCGAACGGCATCCAGCCACCGATGGATCAATAGTCCAGCTTCGCTCCGACGCGCTCAGAAAAGTCGCTCTTCAAGATGGCCTCCTGCCGCTCTTTTGCCTGCTATTTATGTGCCCCATCTGACACGTTGGATATGACATGAAGCACATGTTTAAAATGGTGGAAATGAGCATTTTGTGTCCCAGGCCAACCGTTGCTGCCAAAAAGGACTCAACCAAAGTCTACCACTCGGAGGAATTGAGGATTTGTGATAACTAGCGCCAGTGATACTGACAGAAATGTGCTAAAACGTGGGATGTTAGCGTTTAGGAATTAGAAATTAGTGCAAAGCATATTAGCCTATTCTGTGGGCTATTTATGTGCCCCATCTGACACGTTGGATATGACATGAAGCACATGTTTAAAATGGTGGAAATGAGCATTTTGTGTCCCAGGCCAACCGTTGCTGCCAAAAAGGACTCAACCAAAGTCTACCACTCGGAGGAATTGAGGATTTGTGATAACTAGCGCCAGTGATACTGACAGAAATGTGCTAAAACGTGGGATGTTAGCGTTTAGGAATTAGAAATTAGTGCAAAGCATATTAGCCTATTCTGTGGAACCAAGTATTTACTATACAAGCGCAAAAATGAATGGAAACATGCTTTGTGACATCGGAATCAGAAGTGAGCATTATTAACACTGTCTAATTATATTTTTAGAAACAACTGTAATACGTTATAGTGTGTGCGAGTGTACCTAATCAAACGTCCTGTGAGTGTGATTGTGATCTTCACGTCCCTGGAGGTGTCCAGGCTGTGAGAAAGTAAGAGTTTCAGGCTCTGACCTGTTTTTTTTTTTTTTTTTGGTGTGGGGGGGGGGGATATAAAAAGTTCAAAACCAAAATTTTCCCCAGGAGCTCATCAGCATGCGACTTACTGGGTTTGGAACTTTTTATCCTGGTTTTAGACTCCGATTGGTGTCTTTTATTTGTGTGCTTTCAGGTGATGTCAGGCAGCTTGGAGAGTTCTGTTCTTCCAGGAAGTCTGTGCTGATTGGCTGATTGGTTTCAGCCACAGGAAAATAAAGCGAGCTGCTTTAGCAACGTGACAAAATGCCAAAGGTTACACTCACACACACACACACACACACACACACACACACACACACATACAGACTTTACACACACCCGGGATACATTAGTGCGCCATGAGACCTCTAATGGTTTGCGGTGGAACATTATCAAATTTCACTTAATTGGTGAGAAAATTATTTATCAATCACAAATAATGTGTTTGTCCATCTATCTATCCCAGCAACTTATAGTGACAGAAAAAACAAATAAATGATCTTCTATTGGATGGCAAAAAGTATTAAATTGACATATGTATCCTCTTTTTGTGACAATTTTGTTTGGTGGTGCGCCGTGCGATTTTTCGAACTTACCGTAAGTTATGTATTATATATAATTTGACATGAGACATACGGGACATTATCAAATTTCACTTAATTGGTGAGAAAATTATTTATCAATCACAAATAATGTGTGTTTGTCCATCTATCTATCCCAGCAACTTATAGTGACGGAAAAAACAAACAAATGATCTTCTATTGGATGGCAAAAAGTATTAAATTGACATATGTATCCTCTTTTTGTGACAATTTTGTTTGGTGGTGCGCCGTGCGATTTTTCGAACTTACCGTAAGTTATGTATTATATATAATTTGACATGAGACATAGTTCAAAATCCAATCATTTAATTCCCGTGAACTTTCCAAGTCCAGGATCGCAATTGGACTTTCCGGTTTACCTACGAGGAACAAAGTACAACACCCCAATATACTTCCCAGTAATTTCGTTTGGTGGTGCGCCGTGTGATTTTTCAAACTTAAGTTAGGTGCCTTGGCTCAATAAAGGATGGGGATCACTGCTCTAGGCATCAACATGTACACACACACACACACACACACACACACACACACACACACACACACACACACACACACACACACTTGTAATGCCCACAACATGTCTGCCTCGACTATTGCTTCAGTTATTTTGACATGAGACACAGCTCAAAATCCAATCATTTAATTCCCATGAACTTTCCAAGTCCAGGATCGCAATTGGACTTTCCGGTATATCTACGAGGAACAAAGTACAACACCCCAATATACTTCCCAGTAAAATTTCCTCATACAACTCCTTAGTACACGTTCACAGCAGACATTTCCAGTGTGAAGACCGATGTTATTGATTTTGTTTTTCCCCCAGACTAAGTGACTCAGTGGGATCAGTCACTCCTTCATGGGCCCATCATCATTCCGGTCCGTGTGATTCCGGCCCCGACGTTAACGGGCTGAGCCTTATCTCACGGGTGGCGGGTTGAGGCGCTGCGCTGTGACTGGCCGAGTGCGGGCGAGAGTGCGATGCAGATTGGAGGATGTCGGGCGACTGGGATGAAGACTTGTGCAAGAAGGCGCTGATGCTGGTGGAGGAGCTGTGCTTCAACTCGCCTCGTGGACACAGCCAGAGCGAACTGTGCCAGGAGTTCAGCTACCTGCTTAGGGGACGCAACAGACAGCTGGACGCAGGTAAGGAATCTAGACCCAACTCTACCAAACTGAATTGGGATTTTCTGGACAAGTGCAGTTGATGTGAATGAGAAGGCCTGATAGGTGTGACGTATTATGTTGGTCATGGTTTAGGACTCTAAAAGAATATGCTGGTGGACTGGTTAGCGCTTCGGCCTCACAGTGCAAAGGTGCAGGGTTCGATTCCCGTCTCCGGCCTTCCTGTGTGGTGTCTGTATGTTCTGCCCTTGCCTGCGTGGGTTTTCTCCGGGTATTCCGGTTTCCTCCCACATTCCAAAAACATGCGTTGCAGGTCAATGGAACACTCTGAATTGTCCCTAGGTGTGATTGTCAGCGCAAACGGTTTTATGTCTATGCGTGCCCTGTGATTGACTGGCAACCAATTCAGTCTGGACCCCCGCCTACTGCCCGAAGACTGCTGGGGTAGGCTCCAGCACGCCCTGCGACCCTTGTGAGGGTGCGCGGATCAGAAAATGGATGGATGGAAGAATATGGTGAAATCCGCGCCGGACCAAACTGAACTAAACTGGCGGAAACAAGTATTTGCACGACTATCTGAACTGAAATGAAGCAAAAATGAGGATTTGATTTACCCGCACAACTCCTATCAACTAAAAAGAGCCCAAAAATGGGATATTTGGCATCCTCTCAAACCAAACCGAAACGTACCACTCGGTGGCGTCCCGACCGCTGACAATGGAATGACGCATGTTAAAAGTCAACTGAGGATGTGTGCTGTGGCATGTGTGCTGTCGATGATCTACGTGGAGTGCGCTCCAGCACGCCCTGCGACCCTACATGAAATATTCACGGCCGCATCTCGTTTCTTTTACGAGCCTCCGAAGAGTCTCACGACGAGAGCTCTTTGATTGTGAGCTCCGATGGACTCGGCGTTCGTCGGCGAAGGCTCTTACGCAGATTGGCGGCGCACGTCGCCATGTAGATTAGCCCGGATTGGTCACCGCCTCGGGAGATTTGCAACTGGAAATGTCAGGTCGCAGCCCAAGGCGATTGTGTCGGAAGTCTGCGAGGCCCTCGGAGGAGCGTAAAAACGGCTTTGTCAGCCGAGCGGCGGGCGGTGGCGACGGGATGTGATTGACAGCATGTGTCAGAGCCCGTCGCGACAAAGACAAACCTTCCTCACCGCCATGCTGCTCACACACCAAAACGTGCTTGACTATGTCGAGAGACGCTTTGGCCTGAGAGCAAGATCTTTTTTGGTCATTGTTGAGGGTTTGTTTGTCTTTTTTTTTTTTTTTTTTTGCTGGTTCTTGGTGTTATTTTTCTTTTGTTTTGATTGTCTTTCCTTAATGAGTCTGCTGTTTTTACTTTTATGAACAGCTTTTTATAAGCGACTTTGGTTGTTTTTTCAAGTGCTCTGTATAAAAAGTTGAATTGAGCAGTTGCTCTTTTTTTTTGGTTCAGTTTTGCCTTTTATTTTTTTTTTAATCAAACTTTTTATTGAATTTTTTTAAACAGTTAGAAAAAAGAAAAACATGGTTTATTTAGTTTTTGATGGTTGTTTTTGTCATTGTCATACGTCCTTCATTTGCTGGGGGGATTGCTTTTGTTTTTGATTTGTTTTCCCCTTTGGTAATACTTTTTGTGTAGTTTTCGTATTTTAATAATGGCTTTGAATCTTGTGGTTTATTTGTATTTGTTGTTTTTGACAAATGTTTAAAAACTTTTGTGGTTTGTTTTTTTTCTTTGATTTTTGTCTGTAATGATGAATTTGTTTTTTATTTTGGTTTTGATTTTAGGTAGGATTTGGTCAGAATTAATTTTGTCTCTGTTTTGTCATTGGTCATTTCTACTTAGTTGCTCTTTTTTTTTGGTTCAGTTTTGCCTTTTATTTTTTTTTTAATCAAACTTTTTATTGAATTTTTTTAAACAGTTAGAAAAAAGAAAAACATGGTTTATTTAGTTTTTGATGGTTGTTTTTGTCATTGTCATACGTCCTTCATTTGCTGGGGGGATTGCTTTTGTTTTTGATTTGTTTTCCCCTTTGGTAATACTTTTTGTGTAGTTTTCGTATTTTAATAATGGCTTTGAATCTTGTGGTTTATTTGTATTTGTTGTTTTTGACAAATGTTTAAAAACTTTTGTGGTTTGTTTTTTTTCTTTGATTTTTGTCTGTAATGATGAATTTGTTTTTTATTTTGGTTTTGATTTTTCTTTTTGTCTTTGATTTTAGGTATGATTTGGTCAGAATTTATTTTGTCTCTGTTTTGTCATTGGTCATTTCTACTTTTTGTCTTTGATGATTTTTGTCTATGATCGGTTTGATCTTTGAGGATTGGTTTTGCCCCTTTTTTGCCTTCATTTTGTCCTATTGATTGTTTTTGTCGTTGGTTTTGTCATTCATTATTCTCTTTATTGTCTTTTTTTAAACATAGAATCAGAGCTATCAATACATCCTGACATGTTGGCCCCTACTTCCATTTTTGTTTCCCCCCCCCCCTATATCTGCTCTCCCCTTCAACTCCCCCCCAATCAATACTTGAACCTTCCTCATAGCCCTCGCCAGCCTCGGCCTTAAATCACCGGTTGATTATTTTGTCGTTGATGTTGTCTTTCATTATTCTCTTTGTTGTCTTTTTTTAAACTATAGAATTAGAGCGCTATCAACACATCCTGACATGTTGGCCCCTACTTTCATTTTTGGTTTTTTTTTCCCCCTATATCCGCTCTCCCCTTCAACTCCCCCCAATCAATACTTGAACCTTACTCATAGCCCTCGCCAGCCTCGGCCTTAAATCACCGGCAGCTTGCTTTTCACCCACCTCTCCTTCACACGTGCTCGTTTTCATTAACTTCCTTGGGACAAATGAAAAGCAGGAACGGACGCGCTGGCCAAGAACCATCTCCCTCCGTCTATTATTGTCCCCAGAGGCACTCGTAATATTTTTTCGCCCTCTCGTGGGGCTGACTGAGGCGAGTGCAATATGAAAAAGCCCTCCCGAATCTCCTCCCACCCCCGCGTCTTTGCAATCATATCGCTGAGGAACAAGTGCCGATTAATGACATACACAGACTGATGAATAATTCACAGGAGGCAGGCAGGCAGGCAGGCAGAGGGCATCATGGGAAAACTGCCAGCAAGCAGCCGGCGTTTTCCAGACGCTTTTCACAATTCCGCCGCCGAGTGATTGAACGTCTTGGCCCAAGAAAAGATGACCTTGAGAAAGAGAGACTTTGTTATTTATTTGATAACTTGAGTCCAAATGGGAGCCTCGCTCTCAAAATTGCGTGACTTGGGGAATTGTGGCCCTTGTCAAAGTGTCAAAGTTAGCTTGTCAACTAGATGTTTTTTCTGTCAGTCATGCGTTATTTCGTCAATTGGTAGTGACTGCAGTTACTCAGTTCTATAATCTGTGTGCCAATTAGTGTCCTGGCTTTCCAATCAATGTTGTTTAGCTAACGAGCGTTCGGCGTTGCATTTGCAGAGATCTCTGTGAGCCTGCTGTCGGTGATCGTGACGTTCTGCGGCATCGTTCTGCTGTCAGTGTCGCTCTTCGTGTCGTGGAAGCTATGCTGGCTGCCGTGGCGGGACAAGGAGGGCGGCGGTCTGAGCCTGACATCGGGGCTGTTGCCCGGGAGCGCCGGCGTGGGCGGCATGCCCGGCTCCTCCTTTCTGCCGCCGCTGCTGCAGCGCAAGGAGGGCCAGTCGTCGTCGTCGCTCTACCCCTCGCTCGGCCAGCAGGGGCAGCACCACCCGCACTTCTCCGACCTGGTGGGGCTGGAGAGGGGCGATGGCGGCGGCGGCCTGGTGGGCGGCCCGCATGAGACCCAGGAGCACTCCTACCTGGACATGGACTCCTATCCCAATAATGCTGGTGAGACACTTCATAAAATAAAAAAATCCTTAAAAATAATACATTTTTTTTCTTTCAACAACTGCGTTTTATTTTCTTGAAAAATATGCGTTTCCCTCCTCTCAAAGAATCAGATTTTTTTTCTCACCCCTAAAATGACTTCAACCATATCATGAAAAGATTATCATTTTTCTTGTTTAAAAAAAAAAGAAAAAGAAAAATTCCACTACCTATTTTAAGAAACTATGCAACTTTGCATTATTATCTATCCAGCCATTATATATATACACACACACACATATATATATATATTTTAAGACTGATGCGAATTATTCAAAAGATGGTAAAATATATATATATACATATATATATATATATATATATTTTTTTTTTTAATTTAAATTAAAAAAAATTACCTCATTTACAAGAGACACAAAATAATGTCAAGAAAAAAAACTGACTTTGCCACTCCCACTCAAATGATCACACCCTATTACTATTTTCTGTTTTATAAAAGGGCTATTTTCTACCCAATTTTTTTTTTCCCTTGAAAAATCCAAACTTCATTGGTGAATTTAATTTCCTATGTATGCTAAGTCTTTCATGTAAATGTAAAGCTCCTGTAAAGCTTTTTGTTTCCATGGCTGTCATCACATTTTCCTTTTAGGACTGCATCATGCTAAAAAAAAAAAAGAAAGGCAAAAAGGCCTTTCATGTTGAGTGAGCTGTTCCGAAGTGTTCCTAATCAAGTGCCCTGTGAATGTACATTACAGTGCTATTTAAAGCGTGTGTGTGTGTGTGTGTGTGTGTGTGTGTGTGTGTGTGTGTGGGTGTGTGTGCATGTGTATGCACACTATAATTAGCCCACACCGCGCTGCTATCGCCAGTCTTGTCTGGGGGAGGGGCCCGTATAGAGTCCCTCGAGCTGGCCCCTATCAGAATAGAACTAATTGGGGCGTTTTGGTGTCCCCATGGCCACGTTGCCTTTTTGTCATTTCATTGTTAAATGCCGACATTTACAGCAACATGTTTCTTGTGTCGTGTCTTGGGTGTTTTTTGTGCTGTTGAAGACATCCAATGACAGTTGTAGACCATGCTACTTGCCCCAAAGTCAGCCGGGATCGACTCCAGCTCATTCACCATGCAAATAAGGATGTGCCACAGAGAAAATGGATGGATTGATTCAGTCATCATCTGAAAAGATGGGAAAAAGAAATGTTGATGGTGTTTTTTCTCCCCAATAATTTTTATTTTCGGGAAGGGGTTTCCTGGTAGAAACAAAAATCTTGAACATATTCACAATTCCCAAAATAGATGCTTTTTTTTTCTTGCAAAACAGAAATCATTTGTTGAAAGATTTTTTCCCTTTATTAAAAAAAATGGGGGGGGGAAATTCTAAGGAAAAAAAACACCAATATTTTCTCTGAAAAGAAATATCCTTTTCAACAAAAGAATGTTTTTCAAACTGAAAAAAAAATTGAATTGTTTTCATTTTCATCAAAAATAGAAAAAAAACTTTCTTGAAAAAAGTTATTTTCAAACACAATTTTTTTCCTTGAAAAAAAATATTGAAAAATAGGAAACGTTCTTCATCAATAAAACATTTTCAAATATTTAAAAAAAAATTTAACAGTAAAAACATGTTGACGATAAATGACTTCTAAAAAAAACATACAAAAGCTCTTGAGAATAAAAAAATATGGTTTTAGTTTCTGCTTCCACAGTAATTAACACTGATTTTCTTCCTGATTTGTGTTTGTGTGTGTGTGTGCGTTTTTTTTTTTTTTTTTTTTTACGTCAGGAACGCTCAAGCTGAGCCAAACGTCTCCGGACGTGCCCAACTCAGAGGGCGGCACCCACCCCCACAAAGATCTGCCCAATGCCGTCTCCCAGCAGCAGGTCACCGCACGGTCAGTTTGCCTCCACTCACATGAAAACCATAAGTGGCATCATCAATTGACATTCATCAGTTCACGACATCCTCAAGGGTAGCAGTTTGCTCAGCATCTGCGACAAAATGGCGCAATCAATTAGAGAGAGAAAAAAAAAGACAAACTTTTATAAATATGTTTATTTTCTAAATGAATAAATAAATAAATAAAATACAAATTTTGCACACAAAAAAAAAAAACTAAATAGGACTTTATTTTTGCAGAATTACAAAGTTCCTTCATGGGAGGGAAAATATTAAAGCATTTCATCTTGAGTTTAATCATCAAATTAATTCCCTTGGCTTATAAAAGCCTTAAGTGCACTCAAACACATATTTAGTTTATATTAGACCGGGCTTAAAAATAGTTTGCAATAAGGCCAGGCTGTTGGAAAGGGTCGCACTGGAAGTGGCATCACCTGATATCCTGTTGTGTGTCTGTGCGTGTGTGTGTGTGTGTTTGTGTACATATGTTCAGTCCCAAGCCAATGACTCACCAGCTGTCCAGTCCCGACTTCCACGGCGAGGAAAAGGAGCAGGTGACCAGCATCGGTCAGATCAAACCCGAGCTCTATCGCCCCAAAGGTGACCAGGGTGACGGCAAGCAGGGCGAAGCCTGCGGCAAGATCAGCTTCTTACTGCGCTACGCCTTCAAGTGAGCACACACACGCGCACACGCACGCTAGTCAAGGTGGTGGGAAGATGCTGAGTCAGCGTCTGCGCTGAGCCTTATTGACTTTATGTTCCTTGGCCGCCGCCTTCAAAACAGAAATCTTCCCAAAACGTCTCCAAGGTTGCTTGCACCTCCATCCACATCAGCATCATTTTATTGTCTGCACCAAAAACACACAAGATAATGAATACAGAGAACCGGCGAACAGCAATGATGGTACACACTTACCGGACACAACATTAGGGACACCCACCTGTACAATGTAAGTCACATAACAGTTTCAAGTTATGGGGTGACATCCTCAACTAGTATGCTCAGTGATTTAACAGGCACTGGTCAATGAGAAGTGGGGTTTTTTTTCCCCCATTTTCATTTCGGAGAGGAAAGCATCATTAAAAAAAAAAGCTATTTATTTTCTTGAAAAAAAACTCCCATGAAAAATTGGAAATAATCTTCAAAAACTGTTTTGGGGAAAAAAAGACTATTCTTAAAACATTTGTAAAGAATCATACGAGTCTGTGTGGCCCAGGTTTCGCAGAATCGTGAGGGCATCACACGGTGGGCAGTGGTGGCATTGCGCCCTCACAAGCTATTGCCTGTTCCCATGTGGCCCATGTGTCGGTTTTTAATGGACTTGCCGATTGAATGTTTGTTCCCGGGAGAACACAACGAAGATTGACTCTGTTGTTGTGACGCCGGCAGAGTCCGTTAGTGTTGTCGCGCGCTAGCAGACATGCTATCCCACGCGCATGTTCTGCTTAGGCTCCATCATGAGCCTCAGGAGTGGAATGCGTCACATCATAAATCATCTTGCGCTGGCCCTCCTAAATGGGCCACATGAATGCTTTTAATCATGAAGCTATCCCGTCGCCTGGCTAATTCCTGCCACACGTGTTTGTGTTAGTGTGTGCGCATGTGTTGTTACGCTTTCAAGCGGCTCAGCATTTATAATTCATGCGCCGCCTTTTACTTTCCTGACCATCAGCAGTTTGTGGCGCCTTCGCAATGCTTCAATGTGTCGCCGCCGCTGCCAGGTAGAAAAAAAATGTCCAAAAAACAAAAACATTGGAATGCGAGCTTGTTTTTTTTTTTTTTTTCCAAAAGACGCCCACTTTGTCAGCGGCGCTGCATCAAGCTGAGAGGACTTTCGAATAGCTCGCGGGTTCTCTTCCAGTAGAAGGTCTTCAAAATATTAGGCATGGCTCTATCACTGTATGCTGTGACAACATTCATAAATATTTTGTTACATGAAAGCAATGTCTACCAAAAAACAAATACTGAGTATAAACACAAAAAAAATGCTGCGTTGTTTTCTTAATGCAGTCAGTGGGTAGGATTTTAAGCAGATCAACATAATTAACCCACCAGATTGTGTTGAAGATTGGATTTGGGAATGCTGAATAGTTGAAGCTGCTCACCGTTTTGGACAGTTGTGGACTATCAATTAAATTCTTAATTCAACTCCAGGCTTTGTTCGCTGATTGTCATCATCTCCATCCATGATGTTCCATGAGTGTTATTGCTCTAATTGCCTTAACGGAGGTGAACACGTGTGCTCTGATCGGGCGCTTTGGTTGCCTTGTCGACAAGCTTGTGTGGCGAATTTGTGGCCTAAAGTTCACGGTGAGCGGATAATGAAGAGGCGACATGCCGGCTAATAAGCGCAGACACCGCATAACGAGGTCTGATTAGTGGCCGCCCTCTAATTAAATACGCCATGTTGCAACACACACACACACGCACACGCACACACACACACACACACACACACACACACACACACACACACACACACACACACACACACACACACCCTGTCAAAAGAACTGCACTCATGTTGTGCTATTCTGGTCCACCATTGCTCCAGAGACAATCAACCTCCCACCTTGTTGTTTGTGTACACAGCCTGTCCAGGTGTGTGTGGGCCGAGCATGTCTGGCGTATTAGCCTAAAACGTGTGTGTGTGTGTGTGTGTGTGTGTGTGTGTGTGTGTGTGTGTGTGTGTGTGTGTGTGTGTGTGTGTCAGCACGGAACAGCTAGTGGTGAAGATCCTCAAGGCATTGGATTTGCCCGCCAAGGATGCCAACGGTTTTTCCGACCCTTACGTCAAGATCTACCTGCTGCCCGACCGCAAGAAGAAGTTCCAAACTAAGGTAGGCTCACCTGACCGAAGTTTGCTGCCTCCAAGAGCTGCTGTTGATGATCTAAACAGGAATTTTGTCATGTGGAATTCGTTAGCATCAACAAGGTGATCTTTTGGGATTACTGGATGCTAAGCAATTGGCTGCTTGAACAGGCTGCTGTATAAATGGAAATTGGAATTTTGGTTATATGGCTATATAACCAAAATACAAGCAGCAGAGGATCATTGTTTCTCTTCTGACTATATTGCTGCCTAAACGGGTCGCTGTGAAGAGTGAATCTGGGTTTTGGGAGCAGTGGTTGGTTGTCTATTTTGAAGCAACGGCGCAGAATCAAATCAGGCCCTACTAAATTACTGGCAAGCTAGGTTGCAGTAGACACTGAAAACAAGGAATTTTGTGATCTGGAATCTAAGTGATGTTGAACCATCGCTACTGTACGCGTCGAAGCAACACGCAGCCCGCTACTTCCGCTTCGCGCTAGCTTGCGCTGCTAACAGGAGATGACGGGGCGCTAATAATAAGCGGGAGTGACAGATCCTCTCAAGTTGGATTTAAACGACTGAGCAAGCATCGCAAACCAACGCCTTGTTGCCGTCTTTGTTCATTCCATCAAACGCTTCGATTCCTGCGGTGAATCAGCAAACTGTACAGAGGGATGAAGTCAATGTGCTCGTTTTAGCATCTTTCCATGTCTGCGGCGCAAACACAAAACGACATATTTTTGTGAGACCAGATAGGAAATTTTTAATGAAGGTCAGTTGAATTTTCTGCCTCTGCGGAATTCAATTTTGCGCTCTACGGCCGAGCATAAAGGTTGCGCTTCTTTCTCAAGGACGTTTCAGTGAGTACGACCTTGCAATTAACCAAGAGGCGTGTCGATTTCGAGTATGTGTGGGGCCCTTTTTCTTTTTTGTTTTTGTTTTAGGCGGTTTACGAAATGTGCCGGCTTGGTGGGCCGGAAATGTGGGAATGAAACATGCGTAGCGTTAAGCGGCGATGATGGGATAACAGCGGGAGAGGCGGCCAGATAAGAAGCGAGAATCAGCGAATGTGTCACGGGAATTAATAGCTTCTGTGGAAACCAGGCAATTGTGCCAGTCCCCAGTGCGTAGGTATCCCATTTTTCATGGGCAAGGAGAGATGGTACAAGGTTTGAGAGGAGGGAGTACATAAAGGAAAGAGAGAACAAAATGACCGATGACAACAGCATCAGTGGCAGCTGCTAGTACCTGATTGGGGTAAGTGATTGATAAACAAGGAGGTTAAAAAAAAAGCACGCACAAAGCAGAAAAAAAGTGAATAACAACAAATTTCGGAAAGTGGTTGTGGTAAAGAAAGAAAGTGGAAAAAAAAAGCAATAAAAAAAAAAAAACCAATAAGACCTGGCGAAAAGTGGCACTTGGGCACTTTGTTGGACAACCGGGTGCTAAACATTAGTGGGGAAGAAACGACGACAGGTAATAACCAAAGACAACAATAAGACCTTTTGGAACCATCAGGACGGAGAAACGAGAGAGCAAAAAGTGTTGATAAAAATGACAACGATGCATAGCAAGACTTAGTGGGGGAACCCGGCTGGAGGAAAAGAAGAAAGAAGAGCAGAATAATCAAAGACGGAAGAACGTAACAACACCTATTGGCGCTTGAAGAGGGATAAAAGAGCTGCAAAATGACCTTTTGGAACTTGGTTGGTGATCCTGAAGCTGAAAAGAAAGCACAAAAAGCAACGACAAAAGACATGAATGACTTGCTTGCGATTTACGGTCTGTAGGTGCACAGAAAGACGCTGAACCCCGTGTTCAATGAGACGTTCCAGTTCGGCGTGCCTCTGAACGAGCTCCACTCCCGCAAGCTTCACTTCTCCGTCTACGACTTTGACCGCTTCTCCCGCCACGACCTGATTGGGCAGGTGGTTG